CATTGAGTGCTCTGGTCGCGCTGTTTCGAATTTGAAGAAGTGCACACAACCATCTGCCCTATTGCATCGCCCTTTTATACCACCATTATTAAGAATATATAGCATACCTTGGATGTTCTAAAAATGCTAATAAATCGCTAATTGCCACTTACGGCTATGATGTCCTCTATGAGTGAGATGAATTAATTGAAGTACGACTACATCTTTTTACAAACCTATGATCTCTTTATACTTCACAGAATATTTGTTAAAAAACAGTTATTGTACATTTGGCAATCATATATTCAAACAACAAACAAAGGAGTACCACAAGGAGATAATTTTAGTCCACTATTAGCTGATGTTACCCTCTCAGTTATGGAATACAATTTTGCAAGAGGGTAAGTTGATATTTTAATAAAAATAGAGTATTCATTTCATTCAGATATATGGATGACTTGTTAGTGATACATAACGAATCCGAAAATACATTGACAAACCACTAGGAGAAGTGCATATGAATACGAATAAATTTAACAAAACACATCTAAGTGAAACATCCAGTGATTGTTTGGATTTCCCTATATATTATTTAACAAACTATGGTGTTATAACTATGCAGATTGTATACGTAACAAAGACGGATGACTTTCAGTTCAAGGTTATTAGATTTCCACATAATGACACAAATATCTCCATAAATAATAAAGGCTCCGTTATATACACTGAAACACTTAGAATAGCTAACACTTGTTCCGTATTTGACACATTTACTGATAAACTAACAGAGTTCATAAGAGTGTTACTAGGAAATGGTTACCATGAGAACTTTATTATATCTAATATAGTTAAGTGCATTTATAAAAATAAGTTTATATGTTACAAATTTCTCAATGGCTAATAATTACCAGTTGGCGCCGCACGCATTGCGCGCGCAACACAGATCTGCTGCGAACTTTGATGGTGCGACAAAAATTTTCATATTTGGCTTGATACACTACGAATATCTGAATCCTCAGCTAAATTCAATCCGCTCCATCATCGACGGCTTTCAACCTTTTTTTCTTCGTCAACCATTATCCTCTTTTTCTCGGTCTCCGGACTGCTTCCGGACAATAAATCTCGTGGCAAACTCCGCCTACTTCGGTGCGTGCCCCGCCCACCAATAGCATTTGGCCCCCTTCCTTTCGCCGACCTCTACCCCTTTTTTTCACCGGTCTCTGGGACCTCTTGGAACCAAATTACGACACTTTTGGCAAACTCCGCCCAATTATGTGCATGCTCCGCCCACTAATAGCAGTTCACCTCCTTTTCCTCTATGCCAGGCTCTATTACTTTCTCAACGGCCTCCGGGACTTCTTGGAGCCGAGTTTTTATGATATTTTTTCGTCGCAAACTCCGCCCACTTTGGTCAAGCCCCGCCCACCATTGACAGCTGGCCTCCACTCCTCCATACACCTCTATCCACCTTTTTCCGGCTCTTTAAGACTTCCCCGACCCGAATTATGAGGGCTTGTAGAAAATGCTGTACACTTCAGAGCGCGCCCCGCCCATTCTGGGCGGGCCTCCGCCCACGTCATGTATGCAGGAAACACCTTAGACATTGCTCCCTTACACCAAATTGTTTTCTGCTCTGTAGGCTTTCTCCCAACCGAGTTATGAAATTTTTCATAAAGCACTGCTTTTTTGGAGAACGCCCCGCCCACCGGGGGTGGGTCTCCCTAATTCGATGTGACTTACCAATGCACACCTTACCCACTTTTTGGCCCAGTTTCGAGGTCGTTTTGTCACTGAAATCGAAATCTTGGTCTTCGGTACAATTCATTTCGACGCACGCCACGCCCTCTGTGGGCGGGGCTCCGCTTAGCTGATGTGTGTTTTGTATTACGTGAGACCTTGCCCACCCATCCCACACTTGACCCGGTCCCTCCAGGCGGATCCCGAGGAGCTAGGGAATTTCGTGACAGACATACAACGACAGACAGACAGACGACAGACGAAGCGCTTTATAGTTAGTAAGGATATAAATAGGCTAATAAAAATTAGTGAAGGAATACTCAATATGAGTTATTGTCTAATTCAGTTGGACAGAATACAACTGTTCCACCTTTTTAATTTTATAAAGTTTTGCATATGGTTGTATGGTATAGTTTATTATCTACTTGATATTCAATTTAGTCAATATACAAATTTCATTGCATGCTCCTCTGCATGAAATTTGTACGTCAGCTCAAGGTTTATTCGTCTTTCCCCTGTGTCTTTATTTCGCCAATCCCAACTCACTGATGAGCTCCGGGGATTGACGAAATAATAAGGTTCGTCTGAGGAAGGAGCGAAACGAACCATTTTAATTATTTCGTTTATAATGGTTTTTCTTTCTTAATTGTATCTTGTCCACTAAAAGGACTGATCCAAGAAGATTTCTTAGTCGGAATAGGCAACAAGAGGAAAAAAATGGTTAATCCCGGGCATGCGTTATTATAGCACGGAAGTTAATATCAAATTTGGGTCAGAAGCAGTTTCGAAAACACGAACTTTATAAAAGGCGGCCTTCATGAACGTGAAAAAGGAGCTCATTGAAAATCAAATGCGAGATGCGATACTGATGCACGAAGAAGAAAAAACCGAGAAAATGGCCTAGGTCCAGAGAAGTGGGACAACTTCCTCGCACGATTTGCGCATTAATGCGACTATCGTCGGTGCTGCCCTCTTCAACGCTAACGCTCTCTCTGCAGGACGGCTCGAGAACCAGACACGACGCGTGAGGGGGCATGGTAGATCGCCATATCTTCCGATGCAAATTGCATGTCGGCCCGCTTTTCAAGGAGGCCCGCGAACCGAGGCGTGGCCCGCTACAGAGTTTGCTACGCAGTTCAAATAGATCTTCGCATGAAAGCTTGGCCACATCCACGTGCCACGCCCCTCTCGGTCTAGCAACACCTCCCGCAGAAAATATCTCAGAATATTGCAGAATGGGCTGTCAGTGTAAGTGACAACAGACGCAGAAGAGACAAAAGACTAGGAGGGGAGAGTGTGAGGAGGCAAGTGAGACGCAGACACAAATACATTTTTAACGGCTCAGCTACACCTCTTTTATACATGAATCACACCCTTCTCAATCGAGCATCACTTATCACTGACAATGCCTCTGAATACCACAATGTCGATCAAATTTGCTTAACTAACATGAAAACACGTGTTTTCTTAGAAAATACGTGTACAGTATATTAATGTGTTCCTATGGAAAATATGTTATACATTCTGTAAATTCATTTGTTACTACGAATCAATTTATTGCTTAAATTTTTCTGGGAATTAGCTAACAATTTTTTCCTTTCGGATTGCAATGGGTACCGTGTGAAACGAGTAAGAAAATGGAAATTGATGTGATCGAAAGTCGGCACTTTTCGGAAAATTCCCAGTTTCAACAAGATGTCATAGATGATTTCAACTTTTACGTCTAAAGTTTTTGAGGTTACGTCTGTGAGGCAAATATGGCGAAAATAAACACGCCTAGCTGAAGTATTTTCTCGAGGGGGGTTGTATTGCTCCGCGATGGAGGGAATTGGGGGGAGGAAGGTCGGGAGCGGTATATTTTTGGGGCCTTTGGAAGGAAATGTAAAAATAGAATAAAATGTTTCCAGTGTAACCCCTACCTTTTTGGCCCTTATTAGGTTACATTCGTACGAGTATTGGGCAGTTTTGAGACATATCGCTTATATTTGGGATTGCGTTACGCATGCTACTTCCATTGATTTTTTTTATTAGCATTGAAATGCGAATTGGCCTCTGCTCGGCTAACGAGAGGGTCAACCGATTGTACAAGTTCGATTCTTTTGCTCCCAGGCGAATCTGCTCAAGATTAAGCGAACGAAGAAGATAGGTAGAAGGCTCGATTACCCCGAGCGAAACTCTATCCCTAGTTTCGCCATCAGACCTTACCACTTTCTGCCCTTCATGGGTGTCGCTTGAAGGCAGGGATCAGCATTAAACTGATGTGGTAATCCAATCACTTATAAAAGTAGGGATGGAAGGTGGACTGCAAGTGGAGAAATGAAGGAGGAAGATGGTCAAAAAACAGGAGCTATCAGCCTTCTTGCTCTCATCGTGGAGAAGTCCAATAGGCAGGCGCGGAGAGGAGAGAAAGTGAGTCGCGGGGGAGGGTGAGGGAATTTTGAGGCTAACACGCTACGCAGAAATCGAACGGTGGGCGGGCCCAGGCAATTTTGGTGGGATTTGATCAAAGTCCTTCGCGGCTAGCGCCCTAGTGAGGCGTTTTGATGTGAAAGGTGGTGCGACCTCTGCAGTGGCGTACCACACACATCTACCTACGGGAGCGACTAGTTCGGTGACCATGAAATTCAACGTCCAGGTTCGACGAGGCCGAGCCTGGACGTTGAATTTCACGGTCAAAATATTTTGAACACTTATCATTCAGTATCACCTTTAGTTGCAATTCTAGGGTGATCTCAGGGAGCTCTTCTCTAGAGGGTAGGCCCGGCAGAGAAAAAGATTTGCTGTTTTCTAGTGTTCTCGAGGTTAAGAGTCTGCGTAAAAACCCACTTTGAACGTTGAGCTGAGATCTTGATGGTGACCTTCGCCTCTGATCAGAAGTCTATGAGCTTTTCTTCCTCCGAATAAGATTCTGGAAAGATATTGACTACGAAAATAAGATGACAAAGCTACGAAGGATATTTGTTTTGTTTGTTAACTGCTGTTTTAACGCCGCAGTTCGCCTTGCGAATGTTTCACAAGAATGCTGGGTTGTGAACAAAACTTTCGCCCCAGGCGGGACTAGAACCCGCACCTCTCGCTTTCCGGGCAAGTGCGCTACCCAGCATTCTTGTGAAACATTCGCAACGCGAATTGCGGC